GGAAGAAAAAGCCAGATGATTTTTAGCAACTTTGGGCAATTATGGGTTCCAGATTTTTTTGGCAATTTTGGGTGATTTTAGGTGTAGGATTTTGTGGGTTACGGTGAAAATGGTGAAGAAAGAAAGAAAGCCAGAACCTATAGAGAAGAAGGGTGGAGATGAGAAGCAACCGATTGAATGAACTGGTGAAGATGGTGCATGATTCAGGTGAAGAAAATCAAGATGATTTTCGACAATTTTAGGCAATTTTGGGTTCAACAAATTTGGGTGATTTTGGGCAATTTTAGGCATAGGGTTTTCTGGTGAAGATGGCGTAGAAAGAAAGAAAGACGGAAGGTTGGTGAAGAAGAGTGAAGAAGAGGTACAACTAGATAGGTGAACTGGTGAAGACGGTGAAGAAGGGCATGGGCCTCATTCTGTGGTTCAGGGAAAATGACTGTGAGGAAGAAAGAAAAGGAAATAAAAGAAAGAGTTAAAAAAAAAAATGGTCCCACTTGTCTTATTTGGTCGAAAAGAAATTAATAAACAAAAAGTTGAATTTTGATTGTTAGTAATTAACGGTCAAAATTAATGGAAGTGTGGATGACATCCAATTAGGGATGACATTGAACAAAAAAGGTGTAGTAGAGGGATGACATTTATACGATAAGGAAAGTAGAGGGATGACATCGAACATTTTCTTAGTAGAGGTACAGTAACGAACATTTTCAAAAAATACGAAGACTACAGTTGGCTGTAACCCTATAAATTAAGTATAATCCCTGGTTGGCAACTATATATATTAATAATAAAAATATAAAATAAATATACCCTATTTTTTTCCTAAAAGCACATCGTATAAACACTCTGCTTTTTACCAACGAGGGGTTGGAACAAGTGGTAAACGGCTTATTTCAGCTTAAGTAAGGTCTTCAGTTCGAGATCTTATGTACGCAGCAGCCTCTGTTGGAAGACTCACCCACCATTTTCAGGTGCACGACGCGGGTAGGTCCGGATTAATTGGGGCGAAACCCCGGATACCGGGGAAAAACCGAAAAAAAAAAAACACCCTGCTTTTTAATTGCGCTCGTTAGCCCACGCTCGCGATCCAAAGTCGTTGAAGATATACGACGTCGTTTCGTCGAGGCGCTTCGACTGTGAGCTGAGCGCTGAAGTTGTACTCCGAGTGGATTTTCCTCTTTTGCGGCTAGGTGAGAGTAAGACTGTGTGGCTTGTATCGAATCTCTTTGTTCTTGTTGTTGTTGAAGCTGATTTTTCATTTTTCTTTGTTTCAGCCGCAAATTCTCCTGGAAAGCATAGTTGGAGCAGTTTGGTAGGTGAGAAACTTCGCTGAAGGTATCTCAAAGCTGCTTAATTCTTGTTGTTACGGTCAACTTCGATTTACAGTTGTTTGAGCTGTTTTTTTAGCTTTTTTTGTTGATTTCTTGGTGTTTGGATATGATTTCAGCATGCAGAATATAGTTACTAGTATTTTCTGCTTTAGCATTAGCATCTATATCTATATGGTTGAGGAGAGAATGATCTAGTGTTAGTATTTTGGCTACTCCAAAAAAACAGATGCAGGTTTTCTTGTTTAAGAATGAAATGGTTTTCTGTTTTGTCTCCATTTCTTTTACTTTCTGTGGTGGTTATGAAATAATGAGGAATGAAATAACCAAGTTAACCTGGAATATAGTATTAATGTAGTGAATTCAGTTGGTTGAGTGGAAGTTGTGCCTTTCACAGGTTCTGGAAGATTGAATACTGCAAACTTCTGGTTCTAAGAAGGGCAAGGACAAGAGGGTAGTGCGAGCACTGGTGGTGGAATATCTAATTCTCTCTCTGCTTCCGCACCAGCTAATAATTATTCAGTTTTGATTTCTTGATAGATTGTTATTCCTTCTCAACTTGGGAAGGAATATTTAGGTCTAAAATTATGCAGGAATCAGTTCTAGTTGACGAACTTTTACCATCCAATTTGTTCAATTTGTGGAATTTTAAATCAAGTTATATTTAGTATGGTTGATCTACTAATATGAACTCATCATGTGGTCTGGGTCAAGTACTCTTGTTCAGATTGAGAGTTGTCACTTGATGGAAAGATCTATTTTGCCATGTTAATATGTCACGGTTGTCTAACCTCATGGCCTAAGTGTTTTCCACACTATGAGGGTACTGTGACACATTGCACAAAAGGATCTTTTTACATGATGGGTCTCATTTAGTAGACCAGGTGTGCTTAAATTTGCTTTATTTGAACTTATATTCTCTAAAGGTGTTCTAGAAAACACATGTCCAAATGTGGCCATGTTTAACAGCGATTTTTTTTTTTTTGTTTCTCTTACTATTTTTGGGAAGATTCTGGATCACAAATTATGTGATTTTACATGAGTTGATGCAATGGAAAATGGGGTTTGTTCTTGATGGAATCTACATGGATCTGAGGGTCTAATGGTTTATTTTTATGTTATGATAAGTCTATTAAATGGAACTCATCAGATGGTGGGTTTTATATTAATCCTCTTAAAAAAAGTTCAAGATGCATGTTTATAACACAGGAGCAGGACTATGCAAATTAGTTGTTCCCAATTATAAATATGCTGAGCTTCAATATTAAGTAGTTAGGACACATTGTGTGATGAGTCCCATCTAGTAGATTTACTGTACTGAAAATCAACTCAAATAATCGGCCAAAGAAAAAAAAAATCAATGCAAGGTGAAAATTGTTGTATTAGATATTCATCTGAGCAATATGGTTCCACTGATGTTTGTTTTGCTACTCTTTTTGTTTGGAATAGTGGTGTTGTTGGTATAGTGGAGTTTGGAGTTTTAGAGATGATAGTTATTGGGAATGGCTATTTTAATGCCACTCTGCTATCCACATGCTTCAATGTGTATCCAGCTTAAAGTGGTCTTGAAATGGCCCAGTCCTAGTTATTTTGTAGCATCAAAATGTCATTTTTCTTTATTTTTTTATCACATGGACATAGCATGAGATCCTAAACATCAACACTGGAACTATTTTAAGATCAGCCTTGCTTCTGATGGAACGTTGAGAGTGTAGCGTGTTTCTTTTCAGCATTATAAGAACACTACCGAATATTAAGAGGTTTGAGTTTCTGGTCATGTGTTAAATTATGGGAAATCCATTTTACCACCTACCTTGATATTGGATGTGTGCTCAATATACAGCAGCAGTTTTCAAATTTTTCTTGTTATTCATATACTGATTTTTAATCTGATTTATGATGTTGGGGGGTGGGAGTGCTTTCAGGTGATGGCTCCAAAGCAACCAAACACTGGTCTGTTTGTGGGGATAAACTGAGGACATGTCATGGTGAAGAAGGAATCACCTCCCTGCCCTTCCTTCTGATAGAAATGGGGTAAGTTTTACTTTCAGCTTTTTAGAGCTATTGCTAAGCACCTTCTATAAAGAGCATTCTTGCTAATCATGCAGACTTGTTCAGATGAGAAAGTCTTTGTACATGAATTTTACGTCTGTATGTTTTTATGATCTTTATTACAGGTCATTATATTAACTCTAAAAAACAGCTTTGATATTCATCTGTTTGGATGTTTTCTGCATTTCTTTTACCAAAAAACCAGCAAAAGAGTCCTCTTTGTAAGGGGCTCTATTAGAGAGGTTGTGGGTTTTGCTCCCTATGAGAAGAGGGTTACGGAACTTCTGAAAGTTGGGAAAGACAAGCGTGCTTTCAAGGTGGCAAAGAGAGCTAGGCACTCATAAGAGGGCCAAGAAGAAGCATGAAGAGACGTTAAATGTTCTACGCAAGATGAGGTAATTGCAGCTTGAGCACTTTTTACTCAAGTATTTGGGTTGGTTCTATGATTTCTCTGTCCTTCTGAGGGTTTGTATTTGCAATGTTCTGGTGAATATTTGCGTCAATTGCAGGTCAGCTGGAGTTGGAGTGAAGAAGAAGTGAGTAGCTTCTTGGCTGATCCTCATAAACAGAAAAAAGAAAAAGAAAAAGAAAATCTCATTTCTGTTTAAATTTCCTTCTTACTTTATAGATTTGGATAGTTCCTACCATTTCTTCTGAGATTGGGTTGTTTTCTTTATGATTCATTAAATCCTAGCATCTGTGATTAATTTTTCTTTTCTATTTTATGGGAGGTTAAATCTCTTCAAGAAAGCAGCATTTTATTTGTCTGTGTTTTCATGGCTTATCTAGCAATATAGTTGTTGATAGTTATTATTATTATTATTAGGCAATATATTACTTATGGTTATTGTTTTCTTTCTTTTCAAATATTATAGGGGTATTGTTTAAATGAGTGTTTCTTTATCTTTGGGTATCCCCAACTTACCTGCCATGATGAATCCTTGAAAAGAATTTTAATGATTCTAGTCTCCCTTGAATCTGATTGTCTCAAAATGCAAAGAATTTCTGAGCAGAATAGCACATACGGTCTATGTCTCAGTTTTCGACATTGACTTATAACATTTTATCTTTTTATACTAACTCTCTTATATCTAAAAGCTATATTGAATCATAACTAGTTTGGAATTAGGCTGGGTTGGACCCCATGAGAGAGAAGATTTCCTTGCGTTTGTGTTTATATTCACAAGAACCGAACTCAAGTTTTTATTTAAAAGAATTGAGTTTTTTCCATGTAGACCAACAAATTATTGGTTGAGTTATAACATTCTAATTTTGCTGTACTGGAGATGGAATGCATAGCTAAATGTTTACACCAGCTTTTTGGTGATTCCTAATTTAATATTTTGCCGGTTAACTCCTGGGGGGCTTGTATCTCAAAAAAATAATTTGAATTTTTTAATATTATTTCCTGTTCTTTTATTTATGAGAATATATAAATAATGATAATCATCCAGGCGTAGTTGCATATTAGTGGCATGCTTGGGTTAGAGCATGAATCCTTACTTGAGTTTGACTCTAATCTGGCATTTTTATTTTTATTTAGTATATCCAATGATAAGTTATAAAAAACTGAATTATAAAGTAAGGAATAGCTCTCTATGTGGAATTAGAAAGAAAAAGCATCACGAAGGCTGGCAAAGACCATGAATTGCAATCTAATGGACCATCCTTTGGATTGAAAAGAATAACTCCTCTTTTGTGCGATTCACTTATTTGTGCAGTGAATAAGATTGGATGAAAAACTAACCACTTAAGTAATTAAATAATAATTTATTTTCAATAAAAATAAAAGATTAAAAAAAATTGAATGGAAGTAAAAGTATTTATTTGGTTTAATGCCAACAAAAATGATTGTCTAATTTGTCTAGCACTAAATGAACTAATGGTCACTCCTTTGATGAAAAGTGTTAAAATGTAAAGTTTGAATTCATTTTTCAAGTATTACTCTCTATTTCAAAAATTCCCTAAGTTCAAAAAAAAAAAAAAAAATCATCTAATTCATGCACTTAATGAAACCGTGCAATCTCCTTGAAGGATCCATCTTTTGGATTCAAAACAATAAATCCCTTCTATGCCATTCACTTGTCAGAATTTATCCATTCACGGTGAATAGTGGATAACAAGGCTCACAATTATTACCCCATGGCAGCCCGTAGCCTTCGGAATCCTAAATAATTTTTTCCAATATTTAGTTTTGGTCTCTACATCTTCCTCCTTCACACAGATTTCAGAGTGACTATAAGCAAAATCTGTTAGCAAACAAAGAGAACCTTCCCAAACTCCTAACATGCTACCGATCGTGTGAGCTGTAGTGCTATGGAAAAATTTATTATCGCATGAAGAAGTTTCTTCTCTTAGTGTATTTCTCTCCAATTCAAAACATAAAATCACATTCCAATCATACTTCTTGGCTATCCAATAGATGCAGCCATTGATAGCCGTTCCCACACGATTTTTTTCATGAATACTAAACCAGTATGATACGTCACGGAAGTTATTTCGAACAACACTCCACTGTCCCGTTTTCATCCTCAAGATATCTATATTTCTCCATTGCTTAGAACCCAATTGAGGATTAGAACCGGTAATGTGTATGATCTTGTAATCATTAATGGAGGCAACATAACCGAACTTGAAAGCCTCCCACTTGCCTCGCCCTATCA